AGGGGGTTGGTTGGGGGGGGGGAGCAAAACCCATCCGAAAAAAGCTTTTTTTCTTTCGGTGTTTTTTTTTTTTCTCCCCCCCCCCCCCCCCGCCCCCGTAGCCAGGCCATTTTCCTTTTCTTTACATGAAGCAGTCGCCTGTCTTAAAGTGTATTTTTGAAGATGGAATAATAATGTTGAGAAGAGAGGACTAACCCCATACAAACAGATACATTATGGAATGAATTGTGCACTAATGGGGGAGGATAAGCTCTTTGTGGGGTGCAGAATAGCCACTTTCCTAGCAGCAGAGGGCCTTTGGCTCACCACTGCTCTCTTCTTGCTGTTCACAGGTATGAGGTGATGCAGTTTTGCTGGCTTCAGCCAGAGCAGCGCCCCACCGCAGAGGAGGTGCACCTACTGCTCTCCTACCTGTGTGCCAAGGGGGCTTCTGAAGCAGAGGAGGAATTTGAGAGGCGCTGGAATTCCATGAAACCCGGAGGCACCGGTGGTTCAGGCTCTGGCTCTAACCACATGGGTTTGGAGCTTTCCTCCTTCCCTCTTCTGGAGCATTTCTCCAACGATGGCGACGATGTTCTCACTGTGATGGAGACAAGCCATGGCCTCAACTTTGAATACAAGTGGGACCAAGGGAAAGCTGAGCATCTCCCAGCCTCAGCCATGAGCCCTGGTGGGGCGGCACGTTATCATGAGCTCTACTACGCGGCGAGCAGCAGCAGTGGGGGTGGGCACCTCAGCCTGGGAGTGTCCCCCTCTTGCTATGAATGTAAAATACAGGGGTGCCCTGGTTTGCACACACCGGGGGTGGTCCCTGTGCTGAGTGCCCATAGCCCCTCTCTGAACAGTGAGTACTATATTCGCATTGAAGAGGTGGCATCTGAAGGCAGTGGGAATGACCTGGACTATACTGTGTGTTCCTACAGCCCTGAGTTTAGCCGTTCTTCACGCTGGCAAACCAAGGAGGACCCCTACGAATCCAGCAATAGTCCCACCATCTCACTCACCATGGAACCCCTCCTGGGTCAACCAGCACACCCTGAAAGCCACTGGGAACCCTCTGACTATTACTCCTATGGAGAACAAGACAGTAAAGAGGCCCCATACTACGAGGACTCCCTGAAGGACAGCGCTGAGGAATATCTGCTCAAGGATCCCAGTGATTCTGAGTGGCCTGGTCTAGCTTTGCAGAAAAACATTTTTGCTGATCCACTTGGTGTGTCCCCATCAGTGAATTACACCTGTGAGGAGGGTCTATCGGACTCAGTCATTCTGGAAGTGGCAGAGGAGGAGCGCTTGAGTGATAGTCCTAGGAGTGAAAGAAATGAAAACTCCGAATCTCCCTCTTCAGGCAAGCCTTGGACACCCAACACCTCGGTCAAAAATGATAACGATCACCTACTGCCATCATGTGAACCCCTTGCCAAAGATAGTTGGTGCTACCGGCATATGATCACTTTCCAGGGGCTAATGGCACAGCCACTGGGCACAGTGCCACGGGATGAGCCAGCATTAGGGATCAAAGATCTGCGAGCAGCTCTGCTAGGTGGGGAACACATGACATCATCATCCCATATAGGCTCCCCATGTCCAGACAGCGATTTTCCTGCAGAGGAAAATGTCTCAGTTGAAAGTGCTGCTACATTGCCTGGCATGGAAAGCTCTGCAGATCCCTTGACAGACAGCAGAGTGGAGAGCCCACAAGCCACCACTCCATCATTGGGGGAAGACGTTTCGATGGGTATGTCATCAACACCATCACTGTTATCTTCCAAGGAAGAAGCTGCCAGCAGCATGGAGGCTATAGATCCAACTCTGCTGGATGAATCAATAGCTGAGGTGTCAAACATCGAAGAAGACCCTATGGAAGAGACCTCCACTGGATGCTCACCTAAGTTGCCACAGGAGATCAATATAGAAAGTGGCAAGAACACCAGTAGCGAACAAGATAGGACACCAGACAAGACTGTTTCCAGTGCCAGTTTCCCTGACTTGGATGAGGCCAGTGATGAGGACTCCACTGATCTTACATCTGGAGTTTTTATTGACTTCCCAGTTGACTGCCTTGAGCAGCAAGATATAATCCCCGCTTTCAAAACCTTACAGAAGCAAGTAGGGACTCCAGATTCACTAGATTCATTGGATATCCCCTCTACCACCAGCTCCTGTGACACATTCAGTCCCATAGCTTATATATCCTCAAGCCAGCCTAAGGCACTGGATAGTGGCTATGATACAGAAAACTATGAGTCACCTGAATTTGTCCTCAGGGAACCTTATGAGTCACGGGAATCTGAAGGTTCTGATAAGCTAGGGACATCTGAAGATGATAAGGATGATCAAGTCAAAGAGCAGAGTCTTTCTGATTCTTTTACTGCTGAGCTGCAGGCCTTGAATGAGAAGAACCCTTACCGTGACTCCGCATATTTCTCTGACTATGATACTGAAGGTGGCACTCGGGAGGATGGAGAAGAGGACAGCGATGCTTCTGAAGAACATGAACCGGAAGTCTCCCAGTCACACACTGAAGAACTGAAGGAAACCTCTGAACCAATTGGCAGGACAGATGAGCCTCTGCCAGCCAGTCCTGAACCCATTTGTCCACATGAAGACTGTGTGGGTTGCATCTCTCCAGGAACAGAGGACCAGGACACGGGAAAAGACAGAGATATTAACTTGTCACAGGAACTGTTGATCAATGAAGCAACTGTTGATAAGTTGGATTCAAACTTATTTCAGGATAAGAATCATGGGATCGTTGTGCAATTCCAGGCACCAACTCTCACCACCAGATCTTTCATCTTGTCTCCTGTAGTTGCCAATTTAGAGGAACCCAGGGTACGTGGTGAAGAAAATGAGGTAAAGGATTCAGGACAGGAGAATGTGACAAAGAACACTGAACAACCTGAGGAAATACAGGCAAATGGCCATCCCAAGGAACTTCAGAGCAACCTTGGTCTCTCGCTCAAACTGTCAGTAGTACCATCCCAGCTGTCATGTAGCTCCACTGATATTGAAGAGGAAGAAGACGACACTGAGGACAGTGATGAGTCAGATGAGGAGCTGCGGTGCTACAACATTCAGGACCAGAGTGAGGAAAGTGAGGAGGAATCACCTGCTGTGCCCATTGTAGTGGCCGAGAGCCACAGTGCCCGTAACCTGCGCAGTCTGCTTAAGATGCCCAGCCTAGTGGTGGAGACCTTTTGTGATGACCTTGAGCGCAAGAAGAAAGCTGTTTCCTTCACCGAAGATGTTACTGTCTACCTCTTTGACCAGGTAACTTGTTGGGGAGGGGTTGAAGAGGCAACATAAAGTAACTTAGAAAAGGACTCAGAGAACAGAATGCATCCTGCGCTAAATATCGTCATATCACGAGGCCAAAATATGCAACCTGATTCCTCCTAGAGCGGGGGTGTCAAACTCGATTTCATTGAGGGCTGCATGAGAGTTGTGTTTAACCTCAGAGGGCGTGGGTATGGCTAGCTTGATGTCATTCATCAAGGCTGCCCTCTGTCAGCAAAAACAGAGCTTGAGGAGGCCTCCCCAAGCTCCATTTTTGTGGGCAGAGGGCTGCTGGAGGCTGTTGCAGCCTAAAGCAGAGTCCAGGCAGGCCATGTGTGGCCCTCCTGAGCTCTGTTTTCACTGGCAGAGGCACGGTGGGCCAGTGCTTTGTTGTTTCCAGGGTGGGCCCATGGGCCAGGATCCAGCCCCTAGGCCTTGAGTTTGACACCCCCATCCTAGAGGTTTTAGATTATACTTTTCTGCCATCGCAAAGCTGGGGAGGGTTAATGGGTATCCAAAACACCTAGAAGACACTAGGTTCTTTATACTTCACAGCTACCATATCTGGACTGCAAAATCCAGATTTTTCTAAATTTCTTTGTGGTCAACTGGATCTTTGCAGTGCAGATCTGATTATTCTACCTACTTCAACCAATTATTTACTGGCTTCGGATTGTAATATTGCGTAATCTTAGCCATAACAATACCAATCAGTCTCCTCTAACTTCCCTTCCCCATGATGAATTGGAATACAAATCTCATCACCCATGCAAACATGGTTAAGACCTTCCTAGATGAGCAAAGATTGGGAGGGCAGGACTATAAATAGGGCTAGCAGAACTGGGCTGCGATGGAGTTTTCTGTATCTCTGCAATATCATGCTGTCTAGTACTCAGATTAATCTGAGTAAAAGATAGCAGCATATAGTAGAGATACAGAAAACTCTAGACTCTGGAATTTTGCAACCTGGATTAAGTAGTTCTACACAGTCCGGATCAGGGGTGGGTTCCTGCCAGTTCTAACCTCTACAAATCTACAGTGCCATTTAGAACCGGTTCCAGCTCCCCTCCCCCTGCCCGTCCGCACATCATCAAGATGAAGA